TTTTTGTTTTTGCTAGGCAATGGGTTTAAGTGACTTGCCCAGGGTCACACAGCCAGTAAGTGTTATGTGTCTGAGGCCGGATTTGAACTCAGGTCCTCCTGAATCCAGGGCCGGTGCTCTATCCACTGCACCACCTAGCTGCCCCAGTCCTAGTGCTTCTTGATAACATGGTGATTAAAACATAGCTCATTCCTTTAGTTTAATAGGAAAATATAAAAAGTAGCATAGTGATTTCCTGACATGAATTTAAATATTTTGTCCTAGGTTTGCACAGTTCAGCTGACTCCAAGTCTCCACTGCATGTTCTAAGCTTCTCCTAGTAGTGGTTTTGATTGTGCTCAATAGTTTTGTGTTACAAATACCACTTGGGATTATTGACAAACCTTAATTCACACTCCTTATAATGGAAACTGAATTTGCGATTATAATTTCTTTGTAGGTATGAAAGTTTGGTGGGCACAATTGGAAAGAAGTTTGCTAAAAAGAGAGATCGAGCACAGTATGATGAAGATGAAAATGGTAACATAAAACCAGTTAAAGCTAAGAAGACATTTTTAAAGCCTCAGGAGTAGATTAAGCAAAATATGCAGGAAGATCTCTGGTACATTTTGAGACTATTTTTAATTAGAGTTGGTTGTGTAATTAGTGATGTTATTATACTTATTTGTAAAGAAATTTGTAAGTTTTGAAACATATGCTGTTCCAGAAACAGATGTGTGATGGATGTTATACATCCTTGGCCAAGGGGTTGTCGTTGACCATGGGGTCTTCAGCCTTGATCTGTTAAACTTAATAGGCAGTTATTCCCTAAAGCATTTGAGTTGAGAGAATGATTGTTTCCTCTGCCTGATCATTTATTTCAAAATCTCGGATATAAAATGACAGTACCATTTAAATTGCTCTTGGTATGTTTATGTTTTATTTTAAAATATTAATTAAGACAAGCCAATAAATTCATTTGGGGATAGGGAAATTTTATAGCACAGGTCTTTTATAGGGAATTCATTTATGTGTACATATGGACAGGATGGAAATGTTATCGTGAATCGTGATAACTCTCATTCTGCAAAATATTTACTTGCTGTCAGGTGAAATTACTGCTTCTGGCATTCTGCATATTTATCTCGATGAATGTTTGTAGCTCCTAAATATGGAGAAGTATATCCTGAAATAAATTTTTTTTTCTTTCATGTGCTTATTGGTTTTTTCAGTCAGCAAATTAAACCTTACTATGTACAGTCTATTGTACTAGACCAAAGGGAACACAAAAATGATTAAGAGCAAGTCCTTGTCTTCCAGTTGTTTACAATCTAGTAGGGGAAATAAAATATGAACACAGATAAATACAGTTTTAAATTATAATAAAGTATATAAGTGATATATAGTACAATGAGATCTGTTTGGGAAGCACTTCCAGTTGGGGAAGTAATTTATACATTCAGGCAATTATATTTCAGTTTGGTAATTTAATATCAAATAAGGAATCTTTAAAGTTCCTTGTAATTTTCTCACTTGGTGCTATTATGAGAAACAATTGAGATGATGTATATAAAGGTTCTTCAGTAGAAGGTGGCAGAAGTAGTAGTAGCATAGTTGGATGCGAGGTGGTAACACAAGTTTATATTGTGGTTGGCAAAATATTTTTCATCGCAACAACCTTATGAGGTAGATTGTCCAAGTGTTGTCCCCATTTTACACAAGAGGAAACTTGAAATTTAGAGACAGAAAGTGATTTGGCTCTGGTTACTTAGTTCGTGTCAGGAGCTGGAATGCCTAGTCTTGTTTTCTAACAGTGCTACCACAGAGGGGTAAATCCTTTATGAGTAACATTCAAAGGCAGCTACAGCTGCTTAACTGAAGCAGCCTAGGACAGTGGCAAATCAGTACAGTATACATTTATTAGGCATCCACTGTGCTAGCAAAAACACTGGATTTGCAGTCAGGAAGAAGACCTGGGTTGCAGTGGCACCTCCAACACTGTGTGACCCTGGACAAGTACCATAATCCCTTGGAGCCTCATATTCCTCATCTGTCTGGATCTGTGATTCCTCACAGATGACTAGTTCCTCATCTGCAAAATGAAATTAATCCTCCCTGTAGTAGCTACCTCACAGAATTGTTGTGAGCATTAAATGAGATAACCAAACATTTATTAAGCACCTACTACTCAGCATTGTAGATACAAAGACCAAAGTGAAAGAGTCCCTGTCCTCAAAAAGCTTATATCCTACTGGGGAGACAATATGCGCATGTGCAGACATATACAAAATGGATGTAAGGTGACTCTGCATAGGAGAGTACTAGCATCTGGGGTTCATGTAGCAGGTAGCACTTTAACTGAGTCTTAGGAATTCCAAGAGGCAAAAGAGAAACAGGGAGTGTGTTCCAGGATTGGAGGATTCTCCATGGAAAGGCATGAAGAATGGAGACAGAATTGGTCAAAAAACATTTAAGTGCCTACTGTCTGTCAATCACTGTACTACATGCTGGGGTTACAAAGAAAGGAAAAAAACACTCCCTGCCTCTCAAGGAGGTCACAATCTAATGAGAAAGACAACATGTGAGCAGCTATGTAAAAACAAGATAAATACAGAACAAAGTGAAGATAATCCAGAGAGGGAAGGCACTAGCATCTTGTAGAAGACAGTTTTAGCTTGAACGTGAAAGAATCAAGGGAGGTGAGGAGATGGAGATGAAGAGGAAAAGCATTCCAGGCATGGGGACAACCAGCGAAAATGCCTAGAGTAGGGAGGCCAGTTTGTCTAGACTGTAGAGTACGAGCAAGGGGGTAGTATGGAATAAACATGGAAAGGGAGAGGGGCAGGGTTTGAGGCACATTCTAAAGGGCTTTAAATGCCAAACAGGTAAGTTGACATTTTATCCCAGAGGTACAGAGCTACCAGAGTTATTAAGTAGAGGAGTGACGTGGTCAGACCTAGGCTGTAGGAAAATCATTTTGACAGCTGAGTAGAGGATGGACTGCAGTGTTGAGAGACTTGAGGAAGGAAAACCATTTAGAAGACATATTAGAAAAGTCCAAGTAAGAAGTAATGAGGACCTAAGAGTAGGAGCTATGTGGATAGAGAGAAAGGAACTAATATGAGAGACGTGTAGGGGTAGATATGAAGATCTGACAAATAAGTGGATGGGTGAGCTAAACAATGGTGAGTCAAGACTGTCAATAATACTGCAAATCCGGGTGACTGGAAGGATGGTGTAAGTGAAGCACTTGTCAATGAATGGTTTATAGTGCTTTCCACGTACTCTCATTTGATTCTCACAACAACCCTATAATATAGGTGCCACTGGCTCAGACTATTCCAATCTAGCCACTGCTCAGATTCCTTAAGAACCTAGTCAATAGCTCACAAATGTTCAGATTTCTTAAGAGTCTGGCCACTATGGCAGATCCTTAATGAACCTTGCCTTTGGCTGAAAGAAGGCTTGGGTCGAAATCTTTCGGGCAGTACCCATGTGTCATGATTTTGGGGGTCCAGCACCCCTAAACCTCTAGACCTCACCAATTTGATTTTGAAAATAATTTTTAAGCTCTTCCAGAAATTCTTGTTGGACTTATTCCTAAATAATTTTCCCCCTTTGAGGATTTGTTTGAAAACGTTGGGAGAATTTGGATGAGTACTTCCTTTGTCCACAATCTTGGCTCTTCCCCTTGAAGTCCCTAATTGTCATTCTCAGAGAAACATAATTTATGTAAAATATTTATTGCAAAATATATGTGTGTGTGTATGTGTGTGTGTGTATGTGTGTGTGCTATTATCTTCTCCATGTTATAGATTAGGAAACTGAGCCCAAGAAGTAAAGTAACACCCAGATGTAATTACAAAGTGTCTGAGGCAGGTTTCAAACTCAGACTCCAAGTTCAACACTACAGTATCACAGGCTGCCTCCCAACTAAAAGTCTGATTCAAGTCAGCCACAGACAAAAAGTGATGGGAGAGATTGTAGACTGATGAAATAACTTGGCCCCCCTGAAATTCTTCACAGGATTAGCTATCAGATCATGTGTAGCTGTGGAAAAAGAGCCCTAGGGTGTGGAACACATCCCCAACACACCTTCCACTAACCTAAGAGTCCTTGGATTAAAAAGCTCTCAAAAAAAACCACTCCTCAAATATATGAATTATTCACCACTCTGTATTAGTGCTACAGTCAGCTCAACACGAACTATTGAACTGTTTAATCTGAGACAGGAAGGACTAATTTTGGAGCCCAGGTTATTTTTTTACATGTTGAGATGGCAGGTGAGTAAATATGATCTAACAGAGGACAACACAATGATTATCATAAAATGGAACAAACAGTTCGAGATTTACTGGGACTTGGAATGCCTAGGTCTTTTACCCTGGCTTTGCTATGACTCAGATATGTGAACTAGGATAGTTTCTTCATCTTAGGTTGAGGTCAAAGCTCTGTAGAAGAGCTACCTATGTTTTCTTCAGTGTTACCCATGGCCTCCTCATAGCCAAATGTCAAGAGCACTGGATTTGAAGTCAGTTGAAATCCCAACCCTGCTACTTTTCTCCCTTTTTCCAACTGCCTGACGAACATCTCTACTTGAATGTCCAGCTGGCACTGCCTCTCCTGACTGGACAGTGACCTCACCCCTTCAGAGGTTCAAAAGTAGAATGGGCTACCTGAAGAGGTGGTGGTTACCCCATCCTCAGAAGTCTTCAAGCAGAGATTGAACTACTGTCAGAGATGTTATAATAGAGATTCTTTTCATGTATGGGTTGGGCTAGATGGCCAGTGAGATTCCTTCTGACTCCCAAATTATATGATTCTCCTGTCCATCTAAATTTCAGGAATTAATAATAAAAGGCTCTGATATTCCAGGGACTAAAATTTTCCCAATGCACTTTTGGTAGTGAGGTTTCTGAAACCTCAATGCCAATCTAGTAGGCAGTTTTGCCTAACTGTTTTGGGGAAATTGTTTTGCGGAAGTCAAGGTGGGGAAGCTTTTTTTTAGGTTTTTTTTAGTTGTTTTTTTTTGTGAAGTGTTTTTAAACCTCAAAATATAACATACAAAATTTATCAGTAAAATAATGTGTTGAAAACTTCACTGTCATGGTGCATCTATTTCCTAACCCCAATTGCTACTCTATAGATTTTCCCTTACTAAATGGTAAAAAATCTGTCACCATGCTTTGGGACAAGCTTTTTCTCAAGGCAGATATTGAATATATCCTTCAGGATCTTCTCAATATCTTCATACTCCAGAATCTTAAACTCCACCAAATCCATGTTTTCCTTGTAATTGAATCTTCTGTGACTAAGAGTCCAGCCAACTAAACAGTAAATTCCATCTACTGTCTGCAGAGAACAGAAAGACTTGCTTGTAAACACAGACTTAGGAGAAGTCTGAAGGTAGATATTTGCAGATTCAAATTCTTCTATTGTTCGTGGCTGGAGAGTAAAAGAGTAGATATGACGGAATTCATTTTTTTCCAAGAGATCGGAGTTTTGAAATTCTGGGTTTGGAATGAATTGTTTCCGTCTTAGTTGGTCCAGTACCAGATTCCATTATCTTCTTTCAAGCGGAAGATGCAAGGAGTCTGAGGTTGGTCCTTTCCAGAAACCAGTTCCATTGGCTGCCATATTTGATGAGACCTGCCAAACGCACCATCCACTATATAGGCCTTCTCACCTATTGTGACCTTTAGGAGCAGGTGAATCATAGTGCTATACTGCCTCTTTATGGTATTGTAAACATATCCCCCTAAAATTGTAGTGTCATAGCCCATTGTGGTCAAGACCCAAAAGAGAAGGTGATTGACTTCTAGACACCACCCACCCCTCTTCCTCCTCACAATCTTGTCATACACAGCCTCTAAGCTCAGTGATATGGGTATTCCACAGTGAATGTCCAAGTTCTCAAAAGGCACAGCTTGGACATGATGCAGCATCACTTCAATTAAAGTCTCCAAGTCCGACTTCTCACCGGAATGGTTATAGCCAATCCTTGCAAAGTATTCTCTGATGTCCATGTTCCCTGTAACAAAGCAGTATAGTTTCACTTGATGGTAGAATACTAGGAGAGTAGTGTGTATGAAACAAGGATAGCACCAGGTGGTGGAGACTTTGATAGCCAGTCTAAGAAATCTGAGCTCTACTCAGTATACAATAAGTAGCCACTAATAGACTTTGGGCAGAGAAATGAGAGGATCAGTTTATGCATGAAGAAGCTTAGTTTGGCATCACTGTGAAATATGGATTAGATTGAGGAGGGGGGGAGGGCAGTGGAGAGACAACTTTAGCTACTGTAGAAACCTAAATGTGTGGTAGTAGGGTTCCATGTTACTATGGTGGTAATAGAGGTGAGGCCATTCATAATTTCCATTGATGCCAATGCTTTTCCCTCTATGATTACCTCCAATCTATACTGAACATAACTAGTCTATACATAGTTGTTTGTATGATATCTCTTCCATTATCCTTGAGAGCAGGGACAGGGTTTTTTGGTTTGGTTTGGTCTGGTTTCCTTTCTTTATATCCCCAGGGCTTAGAACATTGCCTGGCACAGGAAAGGTGCTTATTAATAAATATTGGTTGACTTCACTTGACATGGTGGATGAAAGAGATATTGAAAAGGTAGAATTGCCAGGACTTGGTAACTAACTAGAGAAGCCAAGGAGACTTCTCCTTGAGAAGTCAAGGAAAAAGAGAACAGTCAGACATGGGAGACTGGTGGAATGCTGCTGCCATTAACAAAAGGTGAAGCCTTTGGACATTTTGACTTTGAAGAATCTTTGAGATATCTAAAGATAGAGGTCCAGAAGACAGTTGGAGGTGCTGGTCTTGAGCTTGAGAGAGAGAGTACAGGGCCAGAGGATGTAGACTTAGTAGATATTTCTGTAAAATTAGTAGTTGCAACTGTGGAAGTGAACGAGATTGTCAAATCTTAAGACAAAAGAAAAGAGGCTTAAGGATAGAGGCTTGGGGAACACTCACTTTAAGGGAAGAGTTTGAGAAGTTAGTAAAGGAGACAGAAAAGAAGCAATTATAAAAGAGGAGACCCAAGAATTTGGTCTCTAAGACAAAGGTTCTTAACCTCAGGGTCCATGGAACCCCAAGAGGTCCATGGATATATTTCAGAGAGTCCATGAACTTGGACAGGAAAAATATCTTGATAACTGCATTTCAATATGATTGTTTTCCTTTGTAAGCATATGGATGTTATTTTAAGCATTTAAAATGTTACTTGGAGAAGCAGATTGCCAAAGGGATCCATGACACAAAAAAAGTTAAGAACTCTGACTCTAAGCAAAAGGATGAAAGAATATCCCATAGGATATCAGGGTAGTTAATAGTGTCAAATGCTGTAGAGTTCAAGAGGGATGAGGGCTGAAACAAAGGTTGGCAAGCAGGTTGTTGGCAATCATTGGCAAAGTAGTTTCAGTGGAATTGGGAGAGGGAGAAGTCAGATTTCAAGGGGAAAGAGTGAGTTGGAGAGAAAGAGACATTGGGCCTAAACAGTTATGGATATAGATGGCTTTTTTCTAAATTTTAATCACAAAAGGTAGAAAAAAATCTAGCATTTGAATATGGGAAAGGAATCAATGTAAATCTCAACCCCAAAAGACTGGCATTTTATTTTGGCCATAACGTCTCCTAAGTACTGGTGATTAAAGCATGGAAGGACTTCAATCTTCTTTGGCAGAGGGCATATCCACAGTGATAAACTCAAATCTTGTTAAGTACTGAAGTAACTATGGTACTATTTATAACTAAATCATTTTCTTTTTGTTGTAGACAAGTTATAATTGAGTGGAACATCCTAAGATCATAGATTTGAATTTCAGTTGATTTTCAGTCATATCTGATTCTTTGTGACCCCATTTGGAGTTTTCTTGGCAAAGATACTGGAGTGGTTTGCCATTTCCTTCTCCATCTCATTTTATAGTTGAGGAAACTGAGACAAACAGTGTTAAGGGACTTGCCCAGGGTCACATAGCGAATAAGTATCTGAGGCTAGATTTGAACCCATGAAGATGAATCTTCCTGACTTCACAGCCAGCACTTTATCCACTGCACCACCAATCACAGATTTAGAACAAACCTTAATGGCCCTTCATTTTACCCAGTTTTTGCTCAAGGTCACACTATGGCAGGGCCAGGATTCAAGCCCAGGTCCAGGTATGGGATTCAAACCAGGTGCTGACCTAAATCCAGCATTTTCCACTCTTCCAAACTGCATATATGATAAATTTCTGTGACCTCAGATGGGGAAAAAAATTACCTATTTATTTTCACTGAATTCTAACTGAAATTTAGATGTTCCTTCAAGTATGAATGTAGGCAACAAAACATGATTCTAAAAGGGGATCCATAAACTTCACCAGACTACCAAAAGGTATGGCACAATAAAAGTTAAGAACACCTGGACTAGGGATAACATGGGTTAGACCAGTTGAGAACACAACCAAAGTACCACGTACTCATAGGTTCTTAATCTAGGGTCCATTATATTCTAAATATATTTCAATATAATTGATTTCCTTTGTGACCCTATGTATTTTATTTTACGTGCTTGAAAACATTACTCTGAGAAAGGGGGTCATAGACTTCACCAGACAGCTGAAGGAGTCCACATCCTAAAGAAGGGTAAGAATCCCTGATCTACGTCATGAGTGGGCACTCTCTGAACAGCCTTGTAAACTAATAACTAAAGCTGGTATGGGTGAAATCTCCCGAAGACTCCTGGGAAACACCATCTCACTTGGATGCCAAGAGCACAGTCGGCCTAATAGTGGCAACTGATGTCCAGGGTGTTCTGGGTCTGATCTCGACCCAGGCTTCGCTTTGAGACAGAAGGAAAAGCTCTGAAAAAGTCTAGTGACTTAAAGAGAAAGTTGCAACTTCAGGGAGAGTTGATGAAAAGAACACTTACCAGCAAAGAGGAACTTCCTGTGGGCAGGAGCTGGGGGATGGGGCAGCCTTCAGTTCCTGTACTAAAAGCAGCCCGTGGGGGTGAGAAGTGGTGAGTTGCAGCACTTACACCAGGTAAGCCAGGCAAGGGCTGACCAGGGCTTCTTCCCAGCCTGAATTAGCAGATCTTCAGACACTTACTGGCTTCCAGACACAGCTCTGAAGCGTGTTATTGTTGAGCTTCACCCTCCTTCCCTGTTCTCCTGCCCGAGGCTATGGACTCTTGGTCCTCATTGGCTATGGAGTCTACTTATTTCTAGGGCGTTTCCTTCCACACCCTGAGGTTTCTGGGACATGTAGTTTTGGGCTTTCACTCACCTCTCTCAGTTTACATCTCTATTCAATCATGCCCAGCCAGTACCTGTTCATTGGTTGGTCTGTCCTACAAGAGGCAGAGAATTATGACCCCAGCTCCTTCCCCCAAGAAGTAACCATCTTGTGGAGGCGGTGAGGCTTACACACACACAGAGCAAGTAGGGATTACAAAACAGCACAAAATCAAGAAACCAAATTGTGATGATGATCATGAAATCATTCATTTAGAGCTGGATGGAACCTTAGATGCCACCTAGGCCAACCCCCTCGTTTTACAGATAAGGACCAGAAAGTTTAAGCAACTTTTGCCCCATCATACACAAGGTAAAAAGTTACAGTCAAGTTCTGAACTCAGGTCACCTACCTCCAAATCCCATGTGTATCTTTTTTTTTTTTTCCTTTGGCTAGGCAATGGGGTTAAGTGACTTGCCCAGGGTCACACAGCTAGTAAGTGTTATGTGTCTGAGGCCGGATTTGAACTCAGGCCCTTCTGAATTCAGGGCTGGTGCTCTATCCACTGCATCACCTAGCTGCCCCCCCACGTGTATCTTTCTACTGCCTGTTTTGGTTCCGCTCTAAAATTTTACATCTCCCTCTTCTCACAACTGTTTCTGTGGGTTAAATAGATAAGAAGAATAAAGTACAGTGAGAGAAAAGAACTGGAAGAAATTAGTATGGGCAGAAGAATGTTGCATGGAAGAGATTGTACTTGCTAGGTCCAGAACCCCAAGATTCTTTGGAAAAATCTGTTTCCAATGAACTCTCAGTAATCCAGACATAAATAAAAAATGAACCACAGATCAGATCTGACTGGAAAGGAAAGGAAGGAAGAAAGAGTATCACTGAGCTAGTGAATGAGTTAGGAGGCAGCTAGGTAGCTCAGTAGATAGAATGCTGGGCCTGGAGTCAGGAAGACCTGAGCTCCAAAGGGGCTTCAGACGCTTACTTGCTGTGTAACTCTGGGAAAGTCACTTAATCTCTGTTTGCTTTAATGCGCTGGAGAAGGAAATGGCAAGTCATTCTAGTATCTTTGCCAAGAAAACTCCATGACCATGGATGGGGTCAGGAAAGTCGGAGTGACTGAACTACAAGTGAATTAGTTGGTGAATGAATTAAAAAGTGACTTAAGCAATTATTATGCACTAGGCATTGCGTTGCTTTTGCACTAAGCAAATGAGGCAATACATTATAATAAGAAAAAACAGCACAAAAATGGAAGCTAAAGGGGAAAAGTGGGAAAGAGGGGAGGGTGCCAATGCAGGGGTTTGGTGAAATGGTAAGAAAAATGGGCCAGGCTAGATTGGGAGTAAATTTGCCAACTAGAGCTCAGGGTCCCAAGGGCAGGAGTTCTGATGGGAGTAGAAGAAGGCCAAAGTGCAAGTAGCATGGCTTGGATTTGGCAGAGTGTTGTTTTTGTTGTTATTTTGTTGTCATTTTTCAGTCGTGTTTTACTCTTTATGACCCCATTTGGGGTTTTCTTGCCTGAGGTCACACAGCCAATAAGTTTCTTGAGACCAGATTTGAACTCACAAAGATGGCTGACTCCAGGTCCACGCACTCTATCCACTGTGCCACCTTGCTGCCCCTAAGGTATGTACCAATCAATAATCAAAAGCATGTATTGCCTACTATGTGCCAGGCAACCAAAGAGTTGACAAGCACGTAGTAAGCACTTACTATAAGGCAATCATTGCTAAGTACTGAGCATACTAAAATACAAAAAAAAAAGTCCTGTCTTCAAGGAGCTTACATTCTAGTGAACGAAAAAAACATTCCTAACATAGCCCCCTCCTACGTTCTGACCTTCTTGCTGATCTTCGCACAAGATATTCCATCTCCTGCCTGGGCCTTTTCATAGGATATCTTCATCCTCATCTCTACCTCCTAGCATCTCTGGCTTCCTTCAAGTACCAGCTAAAATCCTACTTTTTTTTTTTCAGCCAAAGACAAGGTTTGTTAAAGATCAGCCATACAGGCCAGACTCTTAAGAAATCTGAATATTAGTGAGCAATTTCTAGATTTTAAGAGTCTGAGCCTTTGGCTAGGTTCTTAAGGAAACTGAGCACTGGCTGGATTTTAAGAATCTCAGCATTTGGCTAGATTTTAAGAATCTGAGCACCTTAATGGAGACAAAATGGACCTTATATACAGAAAGACTGTGGGAGGGATCTAGAAATGGCCAAGTACTTTGGGGTGACTGGAACACCAGGAAGCTGGACCGCATGGCCAAGGGAGAATGGAGCCTGGATAGGATTAAGAGTGGGAAGTGGCGAGAGGCCATGGTGGGGTAATAGACAATGGAGGGCTAGCCTAGGTTAAGGGTAACAGAGAACTGGGAGATTGGGCATAGCGATGATGAAAGGCCAATTGATAGGATTATAACTTCAGGCCAAGGCCAGAGATTTGGCCGTGTGGGCAAGTCCAGGGTTTTTCTATTGGGGGGGGGTGAGGATCAAGATCCCAAAGACATGGCCTTTTCCTTTTAGAGGTTCAGATCTCATCCCTATCATTCTACCCTCAAACAAATGGGACCCAGATTCTTTTGGGATAAGGGGCGAAGGTCTTGGCTTCTGAAATTGCTTCCTGCCGGCAAAGGGAGTAGAGCTGTCCCTGTTTCGAGGTTGGTCCCAAAGAGGAGGTTGACTGGAACAGAGCACAGGCTGCATCCAGGGGGTGATGGGGGGACACTGGCTGGTACCCTCTGTTTGCTAGCAACTGTAGGTGAATGGCCTATAGTCTGGAAGACACAAATCTGACAGAAAAGACTGCAGGGCCCAGATATAGGGAGAAGTAAAAGTGTAAGAGCCTCATTAAAATCACTTACATTTGACCTGCAGGATTATCTGATCTCTTTACTTTTTCAAAAGTTTAAGTAACGCTTTTGCAGGTAGACGTTTTCTCCCTCGGGTTCAATAGTTACACAAATGAATTTGCCAGAGACTGATTTTCACTTCAATTATCACTGAATTCTCCTCCCCAAACAAAACTGAAGATGTTTCCAATTTAATTTCAATTGTTTGGGGGTACTGAATGACTACACATTCAAGTCAAAACAGCAAGATTTCTCACACTTGCGTTGATCTTTTACTGACCGCTTGCTCTGACTATAGAAATTTGCTATGAAAGGATGAAGCAGGGACTAGATTTAGAGCCCAAACATTTCAGGATAAAACATCCTTAGCTCTGCTTGAATTCAGATTATTCAGTTTTCCAATCATGCAGTATCAAATCCACCTCATAGCCAGACTCAGAAATAGCCAGGTGGGTAAATATTCCTTTTCAAAGGAACATAATGGGGAAACCGAGCCAGGAGGATCACGTCTTAGACTAAGGCTAAAATTGTCCTCTCAGCTTTTCCCGATGCTAGTTTCCCACCAGTATCACATTCTCTCTGAGTAGCTTGTGGCCTTTCCCTCAGGGATGGTGGATTATTAATTATCGATGGATTATTATGATCCATCAGACAACTCTTACTCCCCAACTTCCAGCTGTGACTTCATCACCTAATCCTGGCACCCCTCTGCCAATCTCAGCTGTCTTCCTATTTTAAGTTTGCCTGATTTTTTCTTTTTCTGTTCACTTTCCCCCTTTCCCTAGCCTGACTTCTTGATACCAAATTCAATTCTACCAAAATGGCATCCTGTCCTGCCCTAAGTTAAGAAAACCCAAGGCTTATAAAACAAACTGTTATATCACTTATCTATGCTGGACGCTCACTGGAAATTTAGTCATATCCTAATTGGTATAGTATGTATAACCTGAGCCCCGAAGTCCCATACCTGCATGAGGGGCAGGGCAGAACTGGTGAAAGTGATAGAAGAGAGAATCTGTATTTCTTCTGGCATTCCTTTCTTAGAGGGGGAAGATCCACAATATCAACCTTTCTTCAGATTGCTGAAAGGAGAGAAAGACTCTGGGAAGAAGGTAAAATGACAAGAACTGGCTGTCTCTATCATGTCACTATCCACATCTTGCTATACTGAGACTTTAGGTAATTTTCCCTTCAGGTGAGCTCTCATTGAACTGAAATATCTCACTGTCAATGGGAGAGCTCCTTCAATCTGTATTGTCTGATATATATTCTCATATGTGATCTTCCTTGATTTCTGTTTTGATATCTACTTAGATAAATGGATTCTTTGCTATTTGCTATGTGTATTCATTATGGAACTAATATTTGGTGGAAAAGGAGTCAAGCCTTGAATATAAAGCTTGGGGCCTCTCTTTCTACCACACTAATGAATAGTAATCAGGACTGCAGCTTGAAATCTTATACTTTTCCTAGACTAACAACATTTAAGGTTGCAGGTAGACATAATTCTAGTCTAGTAAGCCCTCTTTCTAAGAAGAGCAGAGTGGCCAGCCTCTGGCCCAACTTCTTGCTTCCTGTCCTGGCAGGAATTAAAGTCTCCCTTGGAGAAGAATAGAGCTGAGGGTAGTGGGGGTGAGATTCTAGAAGCATTTCTCCTTGCCTCTTTACGAGCCACTTTGAGACAGCCACATTACATGTGGGTGTTTTGTCTCACAGATTAAACTATAACCTCCTGAAAGGCAAGATTGGTGTCTAATAAATTTTTTTATTCTTCACAGAACCTGCTGTAGGATCATGTATGCAGTGAATGATCAGGAAATAGATACTGAATAAATAAAATTAGTGAGAAGATTGTTTATATTATGCATGGATTCTTCATTTTGCCAAAGGAGTCCTTCAAGGCAGTCTGGGGACATTTTAATTGGATTTAGTATACATCTGCCTAAGGTAAGATTCACCTGCCTTGTAATAGTAGTATCAAAGTGTGATAATACCTCCAATAACCAGTCCTCTGAGAGTGAAACTACCATTATAATTATGCCAACCTCTGCCCCACTGACAGTGGAGAGAGATCCCTATGAAATGGGTTTTGAGGACATTACTC